CAATGCGAAGTACAGACTGTATAGGCATGGTTTGCTGCAGCAGCAGGCCTGGTGCAGCTTTGCTGCAGCACAAGAAGATCTTAGTAAAGAGCTGCAGTATATTAAAGAAGAAGCAAATAATATAGAGCCGCACTGGGGTGAGACCATCTTAAGAGATACAGTTTTGCTGCATAGACTCGGAGAAACTCAGAAACAAAGAAACAAACTGCAGCAGGAGCAGCAGCAGCAGCAGCTGCAGCAGCAGCAGCAGCAGCAGCAGCAACAGCAACAGCAGCAGCAGAACAAACAACCAATCATGCAACAGCAGCCCCATCAACTCCAACAAAGGCAAGAACACCAACAGCAGCAGCAGCAACGACAGCCGCAGCAGCAGCAGCAGCAGCAAAGGCAGCAGCAGAAGCAGCAGCAGCAGCAAAAGCAGCAGCAGGAAGGAGTAGTTAAGGGCAGCAAAGTTGAGGACCCTATGCCGAAGCAAACAAATACAAAAAACTTTAACAAAAAGAAACAGTAACGCATAACCAGATGCAGCAAATGCTGCTGCTGCTGCTGCGACAGCAGCAGCAGCAGCAACGCTTTCTGTTAGCAGCTACTGGGGTTTCGCCCCACGCATCAGCAGCAAGTGCAGCTGCGGCATATGTCGCTCCTCCTTAGCTATTTGCTGCTGCTGCAGCGTTTGCTGCTGTTGCTGCTGTAGACGCTGCAGCATGTGGTTGCGCCTACAGATGCTGCAGCAGCTGTTGCGGCTACAGACGCTGCAGCTTATGAATCTGTTCCTGCTGCAGCTTTTGCTGCTGCAACTGTTGCTACTGCAGCTTTTGCTGCTGCAGCTCTTGCTGCTGTAACTTTTGCTAATGCAGCTGTTGTTGCTGCAGCTTTGGCTGCTGCAGCTTTTGCTGCTGTAGCTTTTGCTGTTGCAGCTGTTGCTGCTGCAGCACATGCTGCTGCAGCTGTTAGCTCACCGGCTCTTGCTGCTGCAGCTGTATGCTCACCAGATGTTGCTGCTGCGGCTGTTGCTTGTGCTGCTGTCGTGGATGCAGCGGCAGAGGGGGAGGTACAGCAGCAGGTGCAGCAGATTCTGCTGCTGCTGCAGCTTCAACGCAGCGCTGTTAGTGGAGACTGGCAGCAGCAGCAGCAACAACAGCAGCAGCAGTAGCAGCAGCTGCTGCTACAGCAGCAGCTGCTGCGCTTTTGATTTGAATAAGAACCCCTAGAGAAGAGCATGCAAAGCAGCAGGTGTTGTCTTGCTGTTGCTGCTGTTGTTGCTGCTGCTGCTGCTGCTGAATCTGCTGCAGCGGAAGAACTGCTGCAGCCGCAGCAAGAGCTGCTGCATTTGCTGCTGCTGCATCTGATGCTGCTGTACCTGATGCTGCTTCTCTTGCTGCTGCTGGTTCTCTCCACCTCCTCCTCTTTGGTGCTGCAGCTACTTCTGTTGCTGCTGCTGCTAGTACTGATGCTGCTGCTATCTCTATTGCTGCTGCTGCTACTTTCGTTGCTGTTGCTGCTACTTCTGTTGCTGCTGTTGCTACTTCTGTTGCTGCTCCAGCTACTACTGTTGCTGTTGTTGCTACTGTTGTTGCTGCTGCCGCTACTCATGTTGTTGCTGCTGCTGCTACATCTGTTTCTGTTGCTGCTGCTACTTCTGTTGCTATTGTTGCTGCTGCTACTTTTTTTGCTGCTGCTGCTACTTCTGTTGCTGTCGCTGTTACTATTGTTGCTGCTGCTGCTTTTGTTGGTTACTGCTACTGTGTTGCTGTTGCTGCTGCTACTTCTGTTGCCGTTGCTGCTGCTGCTACTTATGTTGCTGTTACTGCTACTTCTGTTGCTGCTGCAGCTACTTCCGTTGCTGCTGCTGCAGCAACACTGCTGTTGCTGTTGCTGTTGCTGCTGCACATGAGAAAGCATCAAATGGATGAGGAGAAGATTAATAAACAAAAAACCCTTGCAGTCAACCCCACACGAACACAACTCAAAAAAACAGGGGGCCCCACAGGGGGGCCCCCTGCCAGGGGGGCCCCCCAGCTGGTGGGGGGCCCCCCTCAGGCCCCCCACAGCACAGGGGGCCCCCCTATGGGGTATCAACCAAGGGAAGTGTAAGTGGGGGCCCCCTTGACGGGCCCCCCTCTCCCCAGCCCTTCTTTAGAGAGGAGAAGGAGGGTCCTATTCTATTCAGGAGCCTCATCTTCATAGGGGCCCCCTATTCTTATTGGGGGCCCTTTACTATGGGAGGCCCCCTACTAGGGGCCCCTATCAAAAGCTAGGGCCCCCAACTAAACGGAGGCCCCAATGATGACTTAGAAACCAAGTGGAACCCCTGATAGGTAGGGGCCCCCTTTAAGGGGGGCCCCATAGGGGGCCCCCTTAAAGAAGGGCCCCACCAGGAGCGCCCTAAGGAGGGCCCCCATCGGGGGGCCCCTAAAGGGGGGCCCCCCCATCAAGGGCCCCTAAAGGGGACGGCCCCTAAAGGGTAACCTCTTTAGGGGGGCCCCTGTTTAGGGGGCCCCCTAAAAAGGATATATTACCTCTTTAGGCGGCCCCCTTAAGAGGGGCCCCCTAAAGAAGACCCCCAGGGACACCATTCATTCAGAGGGGCCCCCATCAGAGGCCCCCCACTTAGGGGGCCCATAGAGGGGGCCCTCATTAGAGGGCCCCCGAAGGGGACCCTTATTAGAGGCCCCACACAGGGGGCCCCTGTAGGGGGCCCTCATTAGGGGCCCCTGTATGGGGCCCTCATTAGGGGCCCCTGTATGGGGCCCTCATT